ACACCTGATCCTATCTTGTATATTTTTCTGAGCTCTAAAGAAGAGGACTTGTAGCAGATGAAGGATATATTTTGATTAGGGGTTTTGCAAGACTAGAAGTATATATACACAGGCATTCTGGTATGCGTAAGGTTTGCAGCTTTATGGGATTTATGGGAAAATGTTCCCAGAGATGTTGAATGTTCCCAGCAGTGGCAAGGCAGAGCACCAGTAATGGCAGCAGATGCTCAGGCACAACGAATGCCCAAAGGGGCCCCCAAAGCGTGGGCACATTCCCGAATACAAGAAATACCTAGAGAGTACCAGAAATAATTGGGGGTGGGGCTGAAGATGAGGGAGCACGGGTTGGGGAGAGAGATATAAGAATGAATGAAAGTGTAATTGATAGGTCTATTTCATACCAAAGGTTGTGCCTACACTATGTACCTGGTCCTATGCTAGGCATTAAATAAAAAGACATGGTTTCGGTTACCAAGGAATTCAGTTTCGTCATCAGGACAAATGTGCAAAAGCAGATAATGTCAGAAACTCCTAGAATACTTTAATGTTTCCATTTTTAAAAGTTTTTTTTTTAAATTAGAGTTTGAAAAAGTTCATTAAACTTTGTTTGGTTGGTTTGATCCAATTCACCTTATCTACCTGTTTTGGAAGAAAACTGAGGACCATACAGGTTAAGTGATTTTTCCAAAATCACACAGATGACTAAAAGCACAGCAGGGAGAGGCCAAATCTCCCAACACTCCCAAATCATTCTTTACTGCTACACCACAATACCTCATTTATAATTCATTAAACAATTGTTTTTTTCATTCATGGTTACATAGAAAAGTGTAGTGGAAAAAAAGCATGGCTTCTGAATCAGACAAACCTGGGGTGAGAATCTGCTGACAAATTACACTGCTTTGCTTAGCATTAAGGCTGGTCTTAATAAAACAGCTGGATGTTTTAAAGGAAATGTAATAAACCTATACTCTTAACCCAAGATTGGGTATCTGAGTTTTTATCAGCTTAGACTTTATGCTCCTGTCTCATAACTTTGTAACAGATTATATGAATACTACCTAGCAAAGCTAACTGAAAAGAAGGAAGATAAAAGCATGGCAGTGTGAACACTGACTGACTTATTAGAAAATACCCATGTCAAAAAAGCTTAAGGATTACTTCATTCTATACAGGTAATAACTCATCTAGTAAATTAAAGAGGTAATGCAAAATCAAGGAAATACAGTTTAAAAGTATAAGTATTTTTCAGGACCTCTAATAGAGCCCTTTTGTATTTATATACAACATTTTCAACATCTCCCCTGAATAATTTTGATAAACCTGTTTCTCAAAAAGTGCCTTAAAGATATCATTGTCTAAACTTAAAGCATACAGATCCATTTCTTAGTTACAGTATTTTTAAGGTTGTACACAAATATTCCACTAGTTAAGTGAAAGAAAAAATATGCTAATCGCACTTTTTTCAGACTTAAAATTCCCTCTAGGTTTATATTTTTAAAATGTTGAATCATGAAATAAAGGAAATGGACAGTGCAAAAAACCCCAAACAAATAGTTCATCTCATATTTCCAGTTTCCTAATTATGGTATCTTGTCATTTTGGTCTTGTTAAGCATTTAGAACGAAGTAACTAAAGAGTAGAGCTCATTCTCAGAAACTGAACTCGAGGATAAGACTAAAAGCATTATTACACTTTCAACTTCCTGTTTTATTTAGGCAGCTCATCATGACCATTTCAGGTCACAACGCAGAAGTTAAAAAACCCAACTTCCTCTTTATAAAGTGATAAAAACTTCAGCAGTTAGCTATGAGAATGGTTGATCTTACTAGTTTTTATAGAAATACTTGCAAGGAAATCAGGAACCATCATCACCAAATTCATCTCTGGGTTCACTGCTTTCAGAAAATGTAACAAAGATAAAAAGCAGTACTAATTAAAATATATTTGGCATCATGACGTATATGCCTTAAAAAAAAACCCCCGAAAAAACCCCAAATCAAATGCAGTTGAGGTCTTAGTTAAAAAAGAAAAAAGAAAAAAAAAAGAAAACTAGTGTTTCTTCAAGGAAGAATCAATACAAATTAAGGCTGAAAATACCTTGTTGGACAGGATTCTCATTTAAGGGTTACTTATTGTTTATGACTGCTAAGATATTAATATCGACAAGTCTTGCTGGAAAAATACTTTCTCAATTCTTGAATTCAATGAAAAGGAATCAGAAGCTTGGAGGAAAAGGGTGCAAGGTAGGTATAAAGCTGTAGAACCGAAGAAATCTTACAAGTCAAAGCACTTCCTTTTTACTTACAGATAGATCCACAACAGAGCAATACAGATCAGTTTCATCTCTGTGAATAAGAGCCTAATAAAATTTTAGAAATCTCAAATCATATGGATTTATTATATGAGACATTCACTATATCAGTTATTCTTATCCATTCTAATGAAGACAATGTGGTTAATCTAAAAACTGTTTACTGAGCATGAAATTCATCAACATTTCATGGCAGATTTACCTTATTAGTTTTGATTTACTTGCTATGTATGTCATTATTAAAATTAAGCAACGAAAGAGGTATGCTGGAAGAGGAACTTGGTCACAGATCTGCTATTATAAAATCAAGACTATTAATGTTATTAATGTCACTATCCAAAGACATCTTAATTTGCATTTTGAAATACATATGTTTTCCCAAGTTTAATTAAAAAGGCATTCTAATCCAGTGTCAAAGAGAAAAACCTGACAACACCAGTAATGCAGTGCTGCTTGGGCACAATAAACTTGTCATTTGAATTCTTAGTGAAATTTTGTTATAACACTATTTTTGCTTAATAAATAGATGATCAGTTGGACTAACGAATGTTTTGTTATACCATGATTTTCACTGTAATTTAACTTCACCTGAATCATAACTATTTGTCTTAGAATATGCATTTATTATAGTTTCCTCTCCAGCATAAGTTCATACATAAGATATCTTCCCCTCAAACTTACATTTATGAGAATTTCCAAGAAACAGAAAATTTAACGCTAAAGTGTTGTTTAGTGGCTTGTGAGTGTTTAGCACAGTCTTCAGCATTTCAAAATGACATGCCACATGCTGGATCATAAACAGTCCCCTCCATCATCCCAGTCTCTTTTGTTGGAAAAAGAGAGTGTCCAGATACATTTACAGAGCACTCGAGGGTGCACATTTTGTAACAGCCACTGTGGGAAACAAAAGACATAATTCTTGTCCTTTATAGAGTCATCTAGTGAAATCATTCTAATTTCTACAGGCCCTAAAATCACACAGTACTGAAAAAACGGCAAACTATTAAGGTGTGCAGTTGTCAGGAAAAAGTTACCCCACCTAACACAGACTATGCTCTTGTATTTAAAACACTTTTTAAGAAATAAGTACACAAGTTACACACTGACAAATTCAACTGTAATCAAAGACACCGCAGTGGAGCATCAAAGAAGGCACGATGCTTTGTCCAGGTTTGAATGTGTTAACACGAGTTTTATGTGCTATATAAAACCTTCTGGAGTTCAAAAAAAAAATCCGTTGGTTATTCTTGATTTGTTAACAAGAAATCGAAAACTTTTTCAAAAATTATCGTTAAAATTATGTAAGATCCAAGGGATGGAGTCACCACGGGAGCCTTAGATGCATACATACAATCAAGGGAGTGTCTACAGGGGAAGAGTGGTGCTCAAATCCTGAATCCAATGTCCTGAGGCTTACACATTTATTACTGCGAATTAGCTCAGCTATAGTAGGTAAGAGGTGGATGTGTCGAGGGGACCTCTCCCTGTCGAGGAGTCGTGACTACAAAATCACTTCCTGGGGAAGGAGGAGCAAAAGGGAAGTTAGAGGCCACCCTGACCAGGAAGTGACTCGCCCTAAACTAGCCTCAATCACATATAAAAATGGGGGGATGGGATGAGCCCTAACAGCTAAAAGCGGTAAAATAATTGCTTCTTGATACGTTGCGACATCACCATCGCCCCCCTCTTTAAATTATAGAGAAGAGTCCACAGTCACGATTCAATAAGGGAAAATCTCTTTTCTTTCTGAGAAGCCGCTGGGCTGTGCCTCGGGCCCGGGAGGAAAAGGAGAGTTGAGGAATGGGGAACTGGGGCCACCGTAAGCCATAGGAAAGCCCCTCAAGAGGAAAGAGTCCCAACTGCAGAGAGCGTATGCCAGCACGGACTAAGAAACTTTTTGCTCCTGGGAACACTTCCAGGGTTCCCACTGCAACAGGATCGGGACCCTGTTCCCTGTCGCGGGAGGGGGTGAGAGAGGCGGACCCCTTACCTTCTCCTCATCCGACACCCGATCCTCGAAGTCGGCCATCTTGGGCAGCTCTGGCCCAGCCCGGCCCCGGCGCGAGGCAGGCCGGGAAGGAAGAAGAGTGATGGAATCACCGCAGGGGCCGTCGGAAGGCCCCGCCCGGAAACGCCGACGGGAGGGCGCCATGTCAGTTACGGGCAGCGGGGTGGTTCCGAGAGCCAGCGCCCCGGGAAGTCGGCTTTGCCTTAAATGACTTGAAATCGATTATCTCGCTCACCGAGTTACATTCATTCCCCCATTCATCTGTGGATGCGAGCCGGGAGTCTGTTTCGAAAGTTCTTGGTACCCGGGCTCCATCCGACAAAATAGCACTTGCTACTACTATAGGCTTTCCCAGTATCACTGATTTCCATGGCAGCCGAGTCCAAAACGACTAAGTGCTGCTCGGCCCCTGCTCTGTCGATAGCTTTTTCAACCCCAGGAAGGTGGGGGGTGAAAGGAGACCCTCACTCGTATGCAAGCAAAAGCACTTCATTCCGGGGGTCACATCTCAATCCAGTTCCTCTAGAACAGGTACCTGTATTCGCCCCTTCCCGCCCTTCGAAGGAATAGGGTAGCCCCAGTCCTTGGACGGTCCTCCACCTTCCAAACCTTCTGGGTCCCCGTTCCTTGGGACTCAGCCTTCACAGAGGCCACCCTCAGGTCCGCCACTATCCCAGGATTCCCGACTCCCGGTTTCCTCCCCTCCTCCCCTCCCAGCTCCCGGCGCCTGAGGGAGCGGCAAGATGGCGGATGGTAACGGCCTGGGTGAAGCAGCGACTGCTGCGGCTTCTCTTCCTGCATCTGCTCCCGGCCTGAGCCCGCCGCTGGGCTGGAGGGAGCGGTTGCGGGCCGGGCTGGCGGGGACTGGGGCCTCGCTGTGGTTCGTGGCGGTGCTGGGGCTGCTTTACGCCCTAAGAGTCCCGCTGAGGCTGTGTGAGAATTTGGCAGCGGGTGAGAGGCCCAGACCTCCCCGGGGACGGGCGGGGGGGCAAGGGCTAAAGGGCAGAGATTCGGTAGTCACTGGAGGGCCTCGGAGGGTGAGTCTGTGGTGCGCGACCCAGTGGGTTCCTTTTCTCCTGGGCCGCAACTCCACAGCTCACTGTCAAACCTGAGCGGCAGCTACCGGCTCCTCCCTAAAGCTCTTAAGATCCTCCCTCTCTCCTCTGTCCTCGTTTCCCGAGGAAAAGCCATCTGACAAGCTTCAGGTGGTAGGACAGATGAGAGCATTTTCAGACTTGGATGCAGAATTTATATACACCCCCACCACTGGTAGGATCCCTTGAAAATCATTCCTTTGAGTCTCCCGCGCGGCACAGCTGAGAGTCGCTACACCCAAGACAACAAAGATAAGCGCTTCTCTATTTAAAGAGCTAAAAGAAAACATGCCATGATCTTCGCCAGCCATTCTCACGTTTTATAATAATACTGTCAAGACATCATTTTCGTGATACTTTTGTCGGTTCTTTGTTTGGGGCTTTACCTTGAGTAATAAAATAGAAAAGTACAGGAGGTAAAGAGAAAGAGCGCCGCAAACAGTGGTGAGTTCTTTCCTTAGTTCTTTCAACATTTGGAGGGAGCTTGCAATGTAGTCTGGGCTGAAGACACAAAGACGTGTGAGAAGTGGGTTCTGCAAATTCCACCCTTTAGCTGTATCCAGGACAAAGTGGAGGGGAGCCAGGGCCTCTTCCCACGTCATTACAATATTTCAACTCAAGCTCTGATTAGCAACCTCAGAACAAGATGGAAGTATTTCTATTATGTGATGACTATGACTATCAATATCGTGGTTTATTTTTTTGTAGCAAGAAAAGGCAAATGTCCCCTTTACTATTCCATGAGGTGACATGAAACACTGAAATAATGTTTCAATATTTTGGACTTTACATAGGTACTATGTAAATTCAGATATAACTAACACACTAAAACAAGCCAAATAAACTGTCCTTCCTAGACTGAAAGAGCTAATGTGGTGTCTCTGTAACAGGCTAACGAAGTGCTTACTAGTGGCTTGTATGCTCAGTGAAATGTTATTCATTGTTGATCATTTTTTTCTACCTGTTAAATGGATACAGCATTTAGATGAGAGAAGTTGACTATTATAAAGTTTTATTTCTTTCTAAAACTCAAAATATTTATGAGATAGTTATTTGAAGTGAAGGTCTAGTCTTTCAGTGAGTCAGGTGCAGGGAGAGCGCTCTAAGTTTGTTGCTATTCTGTTGGGGCTATTTTCCCTCTCTAGCTGTGCATCAAATACATACACTATTTCTTTTCCTCTAATTTGAAACACTGGTTTGTGTCTCACCAAAATAATGAGAGAGTGGTTTTAAATCTTCTTGGTAACAGGATGTTTGTTTAGTTTGTAGATTTGCAAAAGTTCTTATCTAAATTATGATTTATAAGTTCTTAGTTTTATTCTCAAAAGAGCTAAAGTATGTCCTTTTGATTTGCTTATTTAACAAATAGTGTAGAATCCTACCCTTACATGTGAAGGCATTTTTAAGATATGATACAATGGGACTTTAAAGTAGGTGTTTAAAAATTAAAACTTTCTCAAATGAATCTCATACTAGATATCAACGCACTTAGGTTCCTCCACTCTTAAAGACACCTGTGTATTTAACTTGAGTACTTTGAATTTACATTTTTAAACATTGATTTTTTTTTCCTTTCCTTTTGGCAGTGACAATATTTTTAAATTCATTGACGCCCAAATTCTATGTGGCACTTACAGGGACGTCTTCTTTGATATCAGGACTAATATTTGTAAGTAGTTTCCATTTCTTTCATGCTTTGGTATTTATATAAAGATCAAATCTTTTTATATGGTTGCAATAACTATAATTACTTCTAGATCAGCATTCTCAAAATGTGTTCAGCATGTCAAAAAACACTGCCCCTCCCTCCACTTTTAGAGATTGATTGTATTCATTAGTGTATCAAATAGAAAGGGGACTGGGAGGTGGGTTGCCAAACTACATGCCTACAGGGCCCAGCTGGGTAACAAAAATGAGTGAAATGGGCAGAGAGTAAGAATTCCAATTCTGTATGTACTTTGCCTACTAGGTAATCTGGACCGTGCATGCACCTTCTAGAAGGGGCTAAAGCTGATTGTTGCCATGTAGATTTGCAGACCATTATTACCAGATCTTCCAATTTTTCAAATGATTTTAAGAGAACCTGGATATACAGGTTTTATGTAAAACCTCACAATCCTTTAATGTTGGCAGTATTGAGCAGACTAAAAGTGTATATGTCTTGAATCAGCTCCTAGGCTACCATTGATCTTGTTTGGAGTGTTTAAGAGCAAGGATTTGGAGTCAGGCTAACCATTACTTTAGTGGTGTGACTTGGAGTAAGTTAATTAACTTTTCTATACCCCAAATTCCTTATGTGTAAACTGGGGATAATAATAGTATATACTTCATAGGATTATGAGGACTAAATGAGATAATGTGTGTAAAAGCTTGTAACAACGTGGTAGCTAACTCAGAGTGAACACCTTATGAATTTAGGCTGTTGTTTTTCTGAGAAGTCCCACAATAAAGAAACCTGTTTAACTTTAATTCAGCTTTTCATTGTCTTATTTTAAGATCAAGCTAGTATTTTTAATCTAAAAAAATGTTTTTTTAATATTATGATCTTTATTAACATCCCTAGGAACTAGTGTTTCCTAGTATAAACTTTTGAAAAAATACTGCTACAGGTAAAATCTTAGGAAGTATTACGGCATGCATGGCCAATGAATTTTTCTGTACTTTTTTTTCATCTCTAGGTGGTGCTCTCCAGCTATAGTAGAATTAATGGCATTTATATTGGAGTGTTTTGGTTTTGTCTTTTTTTTATAGCAACTAACACTTGGCCATTTTGTTAAAGTGAAATGCCAGACGGATTTCTAACTTCATTTAAAAAAATTATGAGAAATTCAGGATGAAAACTATGGGTTAATATAAGCCTCAATATATATTGATTTATAAAGTCACTCATAATTAAACATATTTTAGCATATTTAATCAATAGCATATAAAAGAAAATTAGCTATCTTTGAACAGCTGATGTAGTAGAAAAAGCATTCGTCTTAGTACTAGATGTGCTTTTGAGTCTTGACTCTGCCACTTACTAGCTGAAAACTTTGGGCAAGTCACATAAATTTTCTGAGTCTTAATTTCCTCATTTAAATGAGGGGAGAAAACTTACATATATATTATACATGTTATCCTTTTAAACCAAAGTTTATTTTATTTTTTTGTTTTTTAATTGGGGAATTGGGGAAGGGGACCAGTCAAGTTGTTGTTCTTCAATCTTAATTGTGGAGGGCACCTGTTGCCATCTGGCTGCCCGTCGGCAGCTCGTGGCCTCTAAGCTCAAGGTGCTGTGTTACAATCTTAGTTGCAGGTGGGCATAGCCACCATCCTATGTGTGGGAGTCGAACCAGCAGCCTCGTTGTTAAGAGCGCATGCTCTATCCATTGAGCCATCTGGGTGGCAGCTCAGATCAAGGTGCCAAGTTCAGTCTTAGTTGCGGGTGGGCACAGCCACCATCCCATGCAGGAGTTGAACCCGGCAGCCTTATTGTTCAGTGTGTGGGCTCTGTTTACCGGGCCATCCGGGTGGCAGCTCAGCTCAAGGTGCTGAGTTCAGTCTTAGTTGTGGGCAGGCGTAGCCTATCATTGAATAGGCAGTCTTGTTGTTAGGAGCATGTGCTCTCATCAGCTGAGCCATCCTGCCACCTGTTGGCGCTCAACAGCAGCTCAGCTCGGGTGCAGCATCACTGGTCCATGTGGGAATAGAACTGGTGGCCCTGTTGCTCAGAGATTGCGGGGGTTTTTTGTGTTTTTTTTTAAGATTTTATTGGGGAGTTGGGGGAGGGGAACAGCGTTGGGGAATTGGGTAAGGGGAACAGACAAGTTGCTGTCCTTTTTGTTCTTCAGTCTAGTTGTGGAGGACGTTGCTTCATTTTCCCATGTTGGTATTATCATTGCGCTCTTCCCAGCTGAGGCAGTTGGTCGCCGGCCATTGGATGGCCACTCACAGTGGCTCACGGCGGCTCATGCCTGCTGCCGGCCAGCCCCACTATAGCCTATGCCATCGCTGGCGACTCACAGCAGCCCAGATCCAGGTTGAGCTTTTGTTCACCATCTTAGCTGTAAAGGGCACAGCGTCACTGGCCCTCATGTGGGATCCAAACTGGGTCCCGCTGCTCAGAGCTGGCGTCCCAAGCCAACTCCTAACCAATGCGCCACTCCACCGGCCCAGAGCTTGTGCTCTTAAGCTAACTCTTAACCAACTGAGCCACTCGGCTGACCCTTAAACCAAAGTTTTAAAATTAGGAAATTGAAGTAATGTTTTGAAGGTTAAACTATGTCATCACTCTTGTAATATTGATGAGTTTTCATTAGCAAAGTTTATTATGTTTATATTTACCACTTGGACTTATCCAACTTGTACACACACACACACACACACACACACACACACGCACGCACGCACGCACGCACGCCTGCACATATATACACACACACTGAAGTGTGTTTGGAAGGCAGTCTTTGTAATGGTTGGAAGCTCTGAAGTCAGGCAGACCTGAGTAAGAATCCCAGCTCTACCAAGTACTGATGGTGTGAACCAGAGCTAGTTATTAAAAACTGGAATCTGTGTTATCTCTAAAATCAGTTGTGAGGATTCGATGACATAATGCATATCAAGAACTTGGCACAATCCTTAATCAGTATTAGCAATTATTATCATTGCTCATTTCTGTTCAAAAGTTGACTCAAAAGTTGAAAAAGAGGGCCAGCTGAGTGACTCAATTGGTTAAGAGTTGGCTTAAGAGCCCGAGCTCCGAGCAACAGGGTCGCCAGTTGGAGTCCCACATGGGCCAGTGATGCTGCGCCTGAGCTGAGCTGTCGCTGAGCTGCCAACAGGTGGCAGGATGGCTCAGCTGGTATAACAACAAGATTGCCTGTTTGATGGTGGGCTATGCCCACCCACAACTAAGACTGAATTTGGCAGTTTGAACTGAGCTGCCACCCAGATGGCTCAGTGGATAGAACATGCGCTCTTAACAACTGCTGGTTTGACTCCCGCATGGGATGGTGGCTACGCCCACCTGCAACTAAGATTGAACACAGCACCTTGAGCTTAGAGGCCACGAGCTGTCGATGGGCAGCCAGATGGTGACTGGCACCCTCCACAACTAAGACTGAAGAACAACAGCTTGTCTGTTCCTCTTCCCCAATTCCCCAACACTGTTCCCCTTCCCCAATTCCCCAATAAAATCTTTAAAAAAAAAAAAAGGAAGTTGTAAAAGGCTCTAACATTATATTAATAAAAAACTACCTACACTTCATATATGAAGGACAGTTTGTCATTGTTGCCTTTGTGGTTACTGCCCCTGACTATGATCCAATATAAACCTCGTCTTTTTTGCCACATTAATAATTTCTACTTGTGTGATTTCTCCTGGTTGTTTTAAAGAAGTTTTGTCCTACTTCTTAGTAAAACATAAGGTAGAAGCCAAACTAGGGCCATATTTGGTGGTAATTAACTGCCTGCTAACTCAGTAAAAGTGAGCAGAGAGAGAAGCCATTCTCGATTGAACGTAAAACTTTAGTGGCATGGTAGAAAAAATTCTGCACCTCGATTTCCTCGCACTGTTCTGTAAATGTTACAGCATTTAATCAGTGAAGTAATTGGGCCACTATGTAGTGCAAAATGATTGGCACCTTTGTAACATATTTGTTATGTTTACTGAAGTAAAAAACATTTCTAAAGGTTTGAAAGCAGGTGTGTGTGTGTGTGTGTGTGTATGTGTGTGTGTGTGTGAGAGAGAGAGAGAGAGAGAGAGATGGCCTCTGTTTGTGGTCATAGCAAAATAGTTTTTTAAAAAGTTATAATCTTTTAGGTAGTTGTGAATGTGTTTGTTTATTCTTTAAATACAATAATATATTTGTTCACTACTTCCGGCAGAATAGTCTGTCCATAAATAAGAGGAAGATATTAAACTTATCTTACAGTCAAAACATAGAAAACTAGTTACTAGTCATTTGAACAATTTTAAACTGTAAAGCCCTTTTATCTATTAGGCACTCTTCTAGATGTTGGGGGTACCATGGTAAGCAGATGAATACAGATCCTGTCCTCATGGAATTTGGCCCAGAAGATGATTATGGACATTGATTCATTCATTTGACAATTTTTTATTGAGTACCTACTGGTTGCCACACATTGTTTCTAAGCACTGGGCCTACAACAGTGAACAAAACAGAAAAATATCCTTGTCCTCAAGGATATATCCTGAGCTTACAGTGTATCAGAGCAATATATAATGAAAGTAAATAAGTAAAAAAATATATATATATTCTTCCTATTAGTCATAAGTGTAAAGGAAAAAAATGAAGCAGAAAAAGTCATACGAAGTGTCAGAGGAGAAGGCTGAAATTTTATACAGGGAAGGAAGGGAAGGCCTCACTGAAATAGTGATTCTTTAGTAAAGATCTGAAGGAAATGAGGAAGCTAGCTGTGCAGGTTGTGTTACTTCTGCCTGAAGGGGTAGTGTGCTTGGGAGCTTGAAGAATAGCAAAGAAATCAGTTGTTTAACCAAGTAGTGCAAGTGGAAAGATTACTCTGAAAGAAAAACACAAGATCTCATGGGAATGCATAACACAACTTTCTGTTCCATGGAATCAAGAAAAGTTCCCTGAGAACATGTCATTTAAGCTGCCGCCCAAAGGAGTCAGGCAAAGGGAGATGAGAAGGTCGGAGGGTCCA